GGTTTGATTCTCCCCCCTCTCCATCTGCCCCCCCTTCCGCCCCCACCTCTCCACACGTCTCCAGCCCAGTGGACACCGCCCAGTGGACACTGCCTCCGGCTGCCCCGGGCCCTCCTGCCCCCGCATCCCCAGCCCCCACCTCGGACAGTACACCCCAGTCCCCCCCCCTCTCCATCACACCGGACCAGGTGAGGAGTCAGCTCCAGCGCCTGAAGCTGAGGAAATCCGCAGGACCGGACGGGATCAGTCCCAGGCTGCTGAGGACCTGTGCAGACCAGCTCTCTGGGGTCCTCAGCTACATGTACAACCTGAGCCTCAGCCTGGAGAAGGTCCCTGTCCTGTGGAAGACCTCCTGTGTGATCCCGGTCCCAAAAACAGCACACGCCAAGGAACCGGCTCACTACAGACCAGTCGCACTGACCTCCCACCTGATGAAGACAATGGAGCGGCTCATCCTCACCCATCTCCGCTCCGTGGTCAGCCCCACCCTGGACCCGCTGCAGTTCGCCTACAGACCCAACGCTGTCATCTACTTCCTGCAGCGGACGCTCTCCCACCTGGAGCCCGCCGGGAGCGCTGTGAGGGTCATGTTTTTCGACTTCTCCAGCGCTTTCAATACCATCAGGCCGGCACTGCTGCGGGGGAAGATGGAGGACGCGGGAGTGGACAGTAGCCTCACTGCATGGACCATCAACTACCTCTCAGACCGACCACAGTACGTGCGGCTGCGCAGCTGTGAGTCTGAGGTGGTCGTCTGCAGCACTGGGGCCCCTCAGGGCACTGTACTCTCACCGTTTCTCTTCACCATCTACACCTCAGACTTCACACACGACACACACAGCTGTCACCTGCAGAAGTTCTCCGACGACTCCGTCATCGTGGGCTGTGTGTCTGAGGGGAACGAACTGGAATATTGGTCGGTTATCAAGGACTTTGTCGACTGGTGTGAGCGCAACCACTTGTGCTTGAACACCAGTAAGACCAAGGAGATGGTCATCGACTTCAGAAGAAAACCACTTTCCCACACGCTGCTGAACATCCAGGGGGAGGACATTGAGCTGGTGGACAGCTTCAAGTACCTGGGTGTTCACATTAACAATAAACTGGACTGGTCCCATAATACAAACGCCCTGCACAAGAAGGGCCAAAGTCGCCTCTTCCTTCTGAGGAGGCTGAGGTCCTTCGGAGTGAGCAGGCCTCTGCTCAGGACTTTTTATGACTCTGTGGTAGCTTCTGCCATTTACTACGCTGCCGTGTGCTGGGCCCCGGGCAGCACAGAGCGGGACAGAAACAGACTGAACAAGCTGGTCAGGAGGGCCAGCTCCACTCTGGGCTGCTCCCTGGACTCTGTGGAGGAGGTGAGGGACAGGAGGGTGCTAGCCAAAGCCACCTCCATCATGAACAATACCTCCCACCCACTGCACAGGACTGTAGAGGAGCTGAGGAGCTCCTTCAGTGGAAGACTGAGGCACCCTCAGTGTAGGAAGGAGCGCTACCGCAGGGCCTTTATCCCCACCGCTGTCAGACTGTACAATGAGTCACTTTAAATGATCACTGTGTGAAAACCTGCACTACTATTGACACTGTTTCCAATTGACACTTGTCACTTTTGTTGTACATAATTATTGTCACTTTATTGTACATATATCCTGCATGTAACATGTTTGCACATTTCCTCCCTTTGCACAATCTGAGTGTCTCTATCCATGCCAAATGTGACATGTAAATTTCTCCTCTGTGAGATAAATAAAGCAATCTTATCTTATCTTATCTTATCTTGCGCGTCTTACTGTTTAATAGTCGATAGTCAATACAGAGTCTTATAGATCCATCCTTCTTCTTGAGTACCACTGTAGGGGACGCATAGGGACTGCTACTCTCCCGGATCACCTGACCATCAAGTAGCTATCTTATGTGGGCCTTAACTGCCTCGTACTCAGAGGGGGGTATTCTCCTAAACCTCTGCCTTGCGGGAGTGTCATCAGTTAAGGGGATCTGGTGTCTAATGAGCTCGGTGCCGCCTAAGTCACTCTCATCTCGGGCAAAACCAGACCTGTACTTCCCTAGTAAACTTTTGACCTTAGCCTGTTCATCAGGGGACAGGTTGGATAGATCCAGGGCCTCCATCGGGTCAGTCTGCTGAGTTGGCTCTGAAATGACCGGTAGAGCATTGGCCTTTGGGCCCAAAGGTCGTGGGTTCGAGCCCACCACGGGACCTTCTCCACCGACTCCAATTGATGCCTGCTGTTGTTGTGTCCTTAGGCAAGACACTTAACCCACTTATATATATATAAGTGCATATATACGCTGCATGCCTTGATGTGTATGTGTATATATGTATGTACTATATGTGTATGCATCAAACTGAAATTTTCCCATTGTGGGACGAATAAAGGACCTTCTTCTTCTTCTAATATCCCTGGGACCCTGGGTCGGGGTAAATTACTAGGGGGATCTTTTACCACCAAAATGCCGCGGCCAATTACAACTTTACCCAGCACATTAATGTCTGCTTCAAAATAGCCTGCATAAGGTATGTCAACCCATTGGCGGCTCGTAGTTCAAGCCAGCGACAAGAGGCCAACTTTTCCCTAAAGTGTTGACTGAAAAAGCTTTCGCTAATTGTAGTTACCATCGAGCCCGTGTCAAGCAGACATTTAATTTCTACCCCTCCCAGACTCATTGTTACGGTGGGACATGATCCTATGAGCTTTGGGAAAGCCGAGTTAACTGTGGGTGGGACGGAGGAGCCACCCACTGCCAGTCAGGCCGTTTCAGCCTGACTGGCTGAAACGGCCTGTCCCATGGGAGGAATTTGCCCTGACCTCTGGCTGTTCTGTGGCTGGCGGCAGTAACGAGCGATGTGACCGGGCCACTGACACTGCCTGCAAATAAGGGGACCGCCTCTGTTAACACCAGGAGATTTAGCTCTTTGCAGCTGAAGCATATTTTGGGTCAACAAATTAATCTGCTCTTGTTGTTTAATCAGTAATTGCCTTATTTCAGACAGGCCGTCCCTCTCAATCCCTTGCCCTGGCTGGGAGGACTGCACTGCACAAAATTAAGGCAAAGACTGACTACGCCCTCTAGCGTCTGAAGGCCGGCACTCCTGCTCCGACTGAATTGCATCACATCCAACAGAGTGTAGTTAGGATTAAGCCTAACAACCAGTTTTAATTCCCTGCGTAACGACGGCCAAATGATCGGCTCCAGAAACAAACATTTTTGCCTCCCTCCCCGGCGAGATCAAAGATCACATCGGGTCTGTACAATCTCCGATAAGGCCTGAAGACATTCCTCCCAGGCCGACTGGCGATCCACCAACGGCGCTCTGACGCCCCCCAGTGGACACGGGACGCTAGCACACCTGAGATGGACAGTCGAAACCATCGCTCCGTGAAGTCATTATTCTGATAACCTTTGCTGTGCTCTACACGTGTGTACCATTGTCTGTAATGTAAATGCGCTGTGTGTCTGTATATGTGTTATAAACGTCGGTGTCAGCGATGCATATGTCGTTATAACCATGTCTGTCGCGAAAGATGTCCAGGGAGACGCACAAAGATGACGTCATAGACGCGCCCCCTGAACTGGGACAAAAAGCACACGCAAGCCGAAAAACGTTCTCTTGGCATTTTTAATGAACCTAACAACTATACGGTACGCGTTTCCAACGCGACCTCTGGGCCTGTAACAACTTTGGGCTTCTATCTCCACAAGGACAGCTAGCACCACCCGCTGTCGGAGACGACAAACTTTCCGGCTTCTGGACTGGACGTCTACACATGCGGGCGCTTTTCTAGGCGGCGTGTGTATGTGTGAATTTCAAGTTTTGCTGCGACCTGTGGCCTTCGTCTCTCCTGCTCGAACAAAGGAACACGTGGACTCCCCCCCCCCCTTTTCCTCTGCAATTCTTCAATACGGACTACGTCAAAGTAAGACTGTTCTAATTGCCACGTTAATGTGTGATTCACGTGATATGTTTAACATCTCTGTTTAATGTGACCAAACCCCTCCTCGTTGATATTTTTCTATTTTTGTATGTAGTCAATAAACCCACGATAAACTTAGTCATCGTCAAGTGTCCTTTTTATAAATCTTTTGATATCCCTGGCTGATTTCAAACTCAAGATCTATCAGATTGTGAGACTGATAGAGGCAGATTAGTATTGGATCTGTTGTAGATGTTTTCAAATTCTACTGGTGCCCTTAAATATAAATTCAGATCCCTTTTAAGGAACGGCGAGGCTCCAACCTGGAGACTAGCCGCTCCACATTCATTTTTCCTACCTTACAAAAGGGCGCTAGACCATGCATACAAAGTAGCTAAGCAGAAAGCACAACACCGACAGGAGCAAGACCAAGCTCGTTACAATCGAAGAGCCCACGCTGTGCCTTTTCTGCTGGGGGAAAGGGTGCTGATACGAAACTTTCGTAGAGTTCCAAGGGAAAGCTGGTACCTACGTGGAGCCCTTTGTAGTGGTGGCCCCATTGGCAGAAAACCACCCAGTCTATATTGTGCGGCCTGAAGGTAAAGAAATGCCCACACGAACAATTAATTGTAATAATCTGCGCCCTTGTCCTATGAATTTGTTACAGCAGGACCCTGACCCGCCTCCTAGGCCAGAATCTGCAGCAGTTAGGCTAACTCCGCCGCCTCCCACCTGGTGGTTACCAGAACTGCCAAGACCAGCCCCCTCACCACCAGCCATTCAGATAGTGGTACAAGAGCCTCCACCTGTGCCTCCAGAACCCATGTTGCCTATAGTACGTCGTTCACAACGTGCTAACATTGGTAGACCACCTGCCAGGTATTCAGATTAAGCATTGGCCGGGACGACCAATAATAAAGGGGGGAGTGTCAGTGGCATGGGTTTCCCGACCTTGGATATAGTGCATGCAGTTTTGCGGTTTTTGTTTTAGTATTGTTTGCAGTGTTTTTAAGGACACGGTAGGATCACGCCCCCACCAAACTCCATTGGTGGTAATCAGCCAGCTTGATGATAAACGGGGACAGGTGGGGAAGAAAAGACACAGAGACACCGGAGAGCATAGGTCAGGGCAGACACCGGGAGACGAGGCTGGTGATACGTTCACAGCCCCCCCAGCGGCCTGGGAACTACAGGACAGACGTGGAGCAGCGATGCAAGCAAACCAAGGTGGCATACAATGCTGGACACAAGCTAAGTAAAGGGACAGACGTGGAGCAGAGACGTGGAGTAGCGGTGCGAACAAGCCAAGGCGGCACACAACGCTGGACAATGGGCTAATAACATAAGGACCAGTCCACCCGAGAGGAAAGCAGGGGGAACGGAGAGGACTGCTAGCCCGAGACAGTGTAATCCGGGGTTGACCTGTCACGTAGAGAGGTGAATGAAGGACTCAGGATGCAGGATGCCAAAATAAAAATAATTTAATAAAATAAAAGTCCAGGTGAAAACAACTCAAAACACAGAACCAGGAACAAAGACGGAACTTGACAAAACAGGAGGTTGACAATACAATGGACCAGCAACAAGGGGAGAGGAGCACAGGATACATATAGGCACAGAGAGACACAGATGAAACACATCAGGGCAGACAATCAAGACAGGGGAAACGGGACAGAATTCAAACTAAAACCAAACCACAGAGAACAATGTCAAAATAAAATTAAAGTACAAAATAACAAAATCTACACCGTGACATGACCAAGGTTTTAGGGTTTTAGCTTTCTTTTTTTGGTACACATTTTACCCTTAACGACCGGCATTTTAAACTTTTTTATTCATTGCAAATAAACATTTTATCTGGTTCAAGCTGTGTCGTTATTCAGCAGTGGATTATATTAAGCTGATCAAAGAACCTCACATTTGTGACATGTATCTGTCTGTTCTTTGTCCTGTGTGTGATTTTGATGTTAAATGTGAAGTTTCACATCAGCCTGTCTAGGGACAACAGATGGAAATTAGCCTACGGCTAAAATCTGACATATTTACATATTTGTATATGTTCATTACAGTCCCTAATTGAAAAAAATAAAAATAATATATATATCTATATATATATATATATATGTATATATTTATTATGTACGATAAAAATGGCAATCAAGAAACGTCCTAATGCAAGTGACTATAGTGACAATTGACTTATTGTTCAGTCTTACAGTAGTGGGGATAAAGGCCTTGCGGGAGCGCTCCTTCTTGCACTGAGGGTGCCTCAGTCGTCCACTGAAGGAGCTTCTCAGCTCCTCTACAGTCCTGTGCAGTGGGTGGGAGGTGTTGTTCATGATGGAGGTAACTTTGACTGGCACCCTCGTGTCCCTCACCTCCTCCACAGAGTCCAGGGGACAGCCCAGAGTGGAGCTGGCCCTTCTGACCAGCTTGTTCAGTCTACTGAACAAGTATGGCAGAGGCTACCAAAGACTCATAAGAAGTCCTGAGAAGAGGCCTGCTCATTCCGAAGGACCTCAGCCTCCTCAGGAGGAAGAGGCGACTTTGGCCCTTCTTGTACAGGGCGTTGGTGTTATGGGACCAGTCCAGTTTATTGTTAATGTGAACACCCAGGTACTTGAAGCTGTCCACCAGCTCAATGTCTTCCTCCTGGATGTTCAGTGGCATGTGGGAAAGTGGTTTTTCTCCTGAAGTCAATTACCATCTCCTGGCTAAGAGGTCTGTAGCACACAAGTGGTTGCGCTCACACCATTGACAAAGTTCGTCATAACCGACCGATATTCCAGTTTGTTCCCCTCAGACACACAGCCCACGATGGCGGAGTCGTCGGAGAACTTCTGCAGGTGGCAGCTGTGTGTGTCGTATGTGAAGTCTAAAGTGTAGATGGTGAAAAGAAACGGTGAGAGGACAGTGCCCTGAGGGGCCCAGTACTGCAGACTACCACCTCAGACTCACAGCTGCGCAGCTGCACCTACTGTGGTCGGTCCGAGAGGTAGTCGATGGTCCATGCAGTGAGGTTACTGTCCACTCCCGCGTCCTCCATCCTCCCCTGCAGCAGAGCCAGTCTGATGGCTCTGCTGCCATCAGACCAGTGTGTCCAGTGGGCTGGAGAGGTGTGAAGAGGTGGCGGGTGGGAGGGGGCAGATGGAGAGGGGGGAGAATAAAATTGGTTGAAATATTGGTTAAATTTATCCGCCCGGTGCTGGTCTCCATCCGCTGTCCCACTGGCCCTCTGTCCGAAACCGCAGATGGTTTTTAGGCCTCTCCACACGTCCTGGGCGTTTCCCTATGCCAGCTTCTGCTCCAGCTTTTTCCCATAGTCCTTCTTGGCCCTCCTAATCCTCCACTGGAGCTCGTGCTGGATCCTCTTCTGCTCTTTTTGTTCCCTGGGATGAAAGCCCTTTTCTTGAGGTTCAGGAGGGCTTTAAGCTCAGTACCATACAGTTTTCTCCATACAGAAGAGAATATAGTCTGTTATACAATGTGTCATGCTCTCGATGTCATCACCATGAGAGCTGCAGATCATGTCCCAGTCTGTGCTTTGGAAACAATCTCTCAGCCTCTCCTCAGCCTCTTCACTCCACATTTTAACAGACATCTTCTGCGCTGGATTCCTCCTTACCATGGGAGTGTATTCCGGAGAGAGACACACAAGAGAGTGATCAGAGCGGCCGAGCGAGGGGAGGGGGGAAGAGCCGTTTGCATCTCGGACATTAGCATGCATTAAGTCCAGAGTCCTTTTCCCCCACGTGGGGCATGTGACAAACTTTTTGAATGTTGGGAGAGTAGCGGAGAGGGAGGCGTGATTAAAGTCTCCGCTGATCAGTATCAGAGCATGGGGGGCTGCAGGTCTGGATCTGCTGATGGAGGGATGTACACACACAGAACCACGGTGTTCGAAAACTCCCACGGCAGATATTTGGGCCTCATACTCACAGCAAGCAGCTCGAGGTCCTGCGTGCAAATCCGTTTAATCACATTAACATGCGCCGATTCAAAAGGAGGTGGCAAATGTAGCAGTGTGGTCTACTGTCCACCTGTTTTTATTTATTTATTTAGCAGAGGTGAGCAGCGTATAAAAAGGGCTGACGTTGTTGGACCCACCCTCACTCACCTCTGACGTCAGCAAGCATGGCAGCGCTGTGCTGCAGGTACTGTCTCTCTCCAAACTACTGGATCATGCGCTCGCGTGTAGTTTGCCGCATCAATCTGTACTGGTGCAAACATGCTTTCATATACGGTAAGCCACAAAACGTGATGTTGTTTGCGCGTACCTTGTATTGTGTACAAACAGCCATTATTATTTACAGTTTGGTGAGCGTCCGGGAGGCCGGCCCTGGGGGTCTTTCCACTCGTGATGAGATAGAGTAACATCTTACTTACAACAATAGTAATAGTCAGCCACAGCACTTCAGGTCCCAGAGGCAGAGATGGAGTAGCCTCTGGGTGGAGCAGGACGGGTCAGGGCAGCAGAGGTGGAATAGCCTCTCGGTGGAGCAGGAAGGGTCACAGCAGCAGAGATCGAGCAGCCTCTGGGTGGAGCAGCACACATCAAAAGATGGAGTAGCCGCTTGGTTTGGACCATCTTCTCTGCTCTAGTCCAAAGTAAAATGCTAAATGCTTCATTAGCATTTTTCAACAAGTTAGCATTCCTCCAATGGATTTTCACCTGATCCACTTGGTTCGGACAATGAATCCTCTATGCACCGGTCTGAACCAGTGCAAAACTTTGCACACTGTACTGAAGCAACATCTCAGGCAGAAAAAGCAATAAAAATAAAAATTGTAAAGCACAAAACAATAACTGTTAATCAGAGCTACTAAGGACTTGCAGCCGTTACCCAGCATGTGTCTAGTGGTAGTAAGACGCCCGCACCGGACCCTCGATGCTACATTTAAACTAAATTACCACACAAAAAAATCAATATTACAGACATATCACTGTATTGTTGAGTTTTATTGACCTTAAAAAAGGTATACATCACCAACATGCCAACATAAAGTTCATGAACGCCACAATGGGCCTCATTCCCGAACTGTTCTTCAGAACAAATTTCTTAAGCACTATTCAGCGCATGGCATGCTGGTGTTGTTTTCTTTTGTTAAGTTCAATAAAACACAACATTACAGTGATTGATTGTATGTATTCATTCATTTTTATGGTTATTTTGTGGTTATTTTTTGATTAATTTTTAAATTAAATTTGCCAACGCTTTATCAAATGTGATGGAAATCATGCCGTCTATTGGTGACCCTATCCTATTTATGGGTGCATTTCTCCATCCACGGGCCACAAAACAATGGCACATATGCTGATGCTGCAGGAGGTTGCGGGGTCCGTGCTGAGTCTCTGCGCTGGTCTTTCCAATGGATCTATACAGGTACCTGATCACCCTAGATCTGAAAGATGATGTGACGACCTTGGGCTGGAAGGCCGGGTTAGGCCACAACTCCATCATACCCTCCTGATTGGGGAGGGACAAACAAGACGGCTGCACGGAGAGGGAGCACAGATCTCCAGACCTCTTGGCTGAAAAAAGCCAACAACACTGCCGTTTTGTAAGACAAACAGGCAATGGTTGCATTGTCCAAGGGTTCAATGGGAGGCCCCGAAAGGCCAGACAAGACCACTTGAAGGTCCCAAGACGGAGCAGACCGCCGGAGGGGAGGCCTGATCTTTTCTCCAGCCCTCCAGCAAAGACTGAAGAAAGGCCAAGACCTCCTGGATGGAGCATGACGTGGGGTCCAAGTCCCTGTCCACGCACAAAGAGGCAAAAAGTTTCCAGCGAACCTACGCTTTGGTGGTGGATATAGCCCGCCCTCCCTGAATAGTAGTGACCACCAAGGGAGGGAGACCAAGGATCAGCAATTTCCCCCTTTCAGCCTCCAAACCATGAGCCTGCGTCCCAAGACAGGGCATGAGTAAAGGGCTTCCCCTGCCTGTCTCAGAGCATCGGGACAGTCCGGAAAGTGCCAAGGCGGAGCGAGCGCCATGGCCACCAGGTCCGGACACCTCCTGGCTCCCGGGCTGTCAGGCGCCACCAACAGGATGGAGGTCCCTTCTGTCCTCACCCTTTAAAGCTGGGCCGCCAGCAGCCGGAGAGACAGGAAGGTGTAGAAGAGACCGTCGGGCCACGGCCGGTGCGCCATGGCATCCACCCCGAGAAGGGGCCTGTCGCTGGACCTGAGCGAGAACCAGAGTGGGCACTGTGCGTTCTCTGCACTTGCGAACAGGTCGGCCACAGGGGTCCCAAACCGGAGCCAGACCTCTGCCACGACCTCTGTAGTCC